CGATAAGGGTCGATTGCACATAAGCAGTGCCTGGATCGACGACGTACTGGGTTACAACTCCTCCTTTTATAGGGTTTTGCAGCATTGACTCCATTTGGGTGGTTACATTTCATTCTCACAGTTCAAATCATGGTCACAGGATAGTTAACTTTCAACCGAGATGTAATAGTTCTTTGCAGTTGCGGAGTTTACCTTTAAGACTTGCCTAGTTATTTATTCTAATCCATAGGAAGGGGGGTGTTCAGGGTCAGGGGAGCAAATGTTAGGAATGGGTTCTTTCATCTAGACGCTTTTATTATCATGTGGCTCCAGTCTCTTTGGAGCTCAAGACCTTGATGTGCCTGCCCTCTTATCTCAGGGTAAGACTAAATGCCTCATTCAGCAATTAGTGCCTTCAGTGTCTATTAGTTCTGAGCTAAACAAAACAAACTGCTGTTAGAGACAGCAGAAGCCACTTTCCATTGTAATACTTTATAGGTTATTGTAATTTATAAAATTTTTCCCTTTCAAAATGTATTTGCATAATAATAGCCAAAAATAGGCTCTGGCATTTCTTTTCTGCAGAGTACCAATAGAAACTATACAATATCAAACATTCAAACATAGTCCAAGATTTTAAAAAAGAATCCTTTGCTTAAAATAAAATCCACAAAATGCAGCATGTACCAGGATTGGATCCTGGCACACAAGTACATTTGCAGAAACTGGCACTTCTTAACTGAACTCCCCGGACTTTCCAGCTTTCATAGGTTGTGTATAAATTCACATGTTCAGGACAGATTTGAAGGACCTGCTGGTTATCTGGCTCTTCTGGTCTGATCTTGATGAGAATCAAACTTACTTTGCTCCTGGCAGGTACATGAAGGCCAGACCACATAGGCAAGTGTGGTCTTTCTGGTTGTCCAGGGCCCCCTCTGATTTTTCAGGCCCTATCACCAGGCCACATGCAGTAGCAACGTTAGCTGGCCAGCCAGTTGCTGAAGAGCAAATATACTCAGGCCCCTGGTGAATGGCCCTGGCTGTGCCCAGAGCTCACTATATCAGTCCAGGCACAACCTTGCATGTGCACGCCCACTGCCCTGGATGCCCACACAAGCAGAGAGATTTACACATATCTTACACTTTATACCCACTTTGCCATCAGTGCATGTGTCATCCAGGTGAACGAGCCTTGACTGCCCTGCAAATTGACAACTATATTGAGTTCTATGAGGGACTTCGCCACACGTTGGACACAGAGATACTGCCAGAAAGATGAAAGACAAGGCCTGCCGAAAGCCAGCCCCATAGTCTGCTTAATTCCTAGGGTCCTACCTGGAATTACTCAGCACTATCAATATTGCTTTTCCATTATCTTTGCTAACAGGCATTTGCCAGGAATCTCCTGAATATTGTGGTTGTGTTAGCTTTCCTACTGCTGGATAAAATACCTAACATCAAGGAGGAGAGTTCCAATTGGCTAATGGTTTCAGTCCATGGGTGGCAGACTCTGTGGTAGGAGCATCATGACAGAAGGACATGACAGAGCAGAGGTGCTTAGTTAATCATAGCCAAGAAGCAGAGCACAGGGGAATAGTGTAACAGAGGAAGGGGACAGAGAACACACATAGTATCCAAGGTCACTCCTCCATGACCCACAATGATACACCCAAAAGTGCGCTTTACTAATCCCCAGAGTATTGAATCCGGTCAAGTTGCCTATTATGATTAGTGGTCACAGTCCACCCTGTCAACTTGACAACCAGACTCATCTCCTCAAAACATACTTCATATTTAAACAAAGACAATATAGCAAGTTCATAATTCTGCCTCATGCAATACAACTATCTTGCACACAATTTGAAATGCATTAATTCCCTCCCTAAAGTCCCAATATTTTTCAAAAGCCCAAGTCCAAGTCTCTTCTGGTACTCAAGGCGTACTCTTAGCTGTGAACCTCAGTAAAAATAAAAAGAATTACAAAATCACAAATGAAACCCAAAGTGAGGGAGATCTCAGGAAATTGGAGGTGTCAGAGTGTGGAACATTTGTTGAGGAAAGCTGCAGGCAGGGAGCTCCATAGTCTCACTTTGGGACTGGTTCCACTCCCTGACTACAGCTTTCCTCAACAAATGTTCCACACTCTGACACCTCCAATCTCCTGGGATCTCCCTCACTTAGGAGCTCCTTGCCTGACGTTGTAGGTCTTCTGTTAAAGTCTGAGTGGAAGCCTTCCTGGCCCTATAACTGTTGCATTCTAAACACTGTTAAAACCACCGTCGTGTAGATGATGCCAAGGTCTTGGACTAGGTGACTACAGTGGCTTCTGAGTGCCTAAATAGCTGAGCACCGTGAGATGATCCCATGGAACCAATTTCCTAGGATGCCCTTCTCAAACAGGGGGGCTCCGGGACTCTCTTCTCAAATGATAAGTTGACATTTTTATTGTACCTTTGAACCTGTAATAGGTGGTATCTTGCTGATTTCTAAAATGTCTTCAAGGTATTTTTCTTCTTTCTCTTGTACAAAGTGCGTGGTTTCTTTTTGATTATGCTACTCTCCAGCAACCACACCTACTTTGGCCTCAAGTGGGCCAAAATTTAAATTTTTTGAATTTTTCTTTTCTGCTTTTGGTCCCCAGTTCTCACTATAAATCTGGCTAAAAGCAGCCAGAGTAACCATGTCGCAGCCTTAATGTTGGGCTGCCTTGAGATTTCTTCTGCCAGATAGTCAATCCACTTCCTTTAATTTCAGTCTCCTGCAGTCTGAGGGCAAGGGCAAAAGACAAATTCTTTGCCAAAAGGTCAATGGCCTCTAGTCCAATCATCAGTGGAGTCCTTGTTCCCATCTAAAACTTCCTGAGCCTGGGTTTACTGTCTGCATTCCTATCAGAATTCTGGTCTTTTGAGCTCTAACAAGAGCCCATCAACCTCTGCTTTATAGCAGTCTAGGAGTTCTATAGTGGGCATCTCCAAACCTTTCCAAACTCCTCCCACAAATTAATTTCAAATGTCTTTGAACCAGATGGTCAGGTATAATCAGAACAATGGCCCCATCTCTAGTACCAATTCTTTGTATTCGTCACCTTTCCAATTGCTGGATGCAGTACCTGACATTCACAATTTAAAGGAAAGGAGATTTACTTGGCTTACAGGGGAGCTCAGGCGGATCAGTCTATGGCCAGTTGGTTCCAAGGCAGAAACATCATGGTGAAAGGGCATAGCAGAATAAAACTGCATAGTTCATGGCAGCCAAGGAGCATAGCAAGGAGATAACATCAGAGAGGAAAGGGCTAGGAACCATATATAGTTCCTGTATGGTTTAAATCTAAAATATCTTGCAAAAGTTTCATACGTATGGAAGGTGATTGAATCATGAGGGGCACGCTATACTCTTTAGTGGATGCATCACGAGTGAGTTTGGTAGCTGAATATGCTGTTAGGATTGGGGCCTTGTTGGAGGGGGTCCCTGTGGGGCATGACCTGGAAGTTTCCTGGCTTCCTGGGTTGAACAGCTTTCCTCTGTCACACTGTCTCACTGTGCTGTTTCTGTCTTGAATCCAGCCAATCATGGACTGAAATCACGAGACAAAATAAACCTCTCCTTTAAGTTGCGGTGTTGGGGATTTTGAGTCAGTGATGGGCATGCTAATACAGTGACCAAGGTCACTCTTCCATGACCTGCATGAACACACTCAGAAGTATGCTTTACTAATCCTGAGGTCATCTCTTACTCCAGTCAAGTTGTCATGCCACAATTAATGGCCACAGGGATTGTTTTGGTTATTTTTAATTAAACGGTAACTGGGTAAAGGAAATTATTTTAAAAGAATCTCTCTGAATATGATGTGCAGATTTCATGGGCTAAGAAACCTTAAGTATCTTCAGATACTGGCTGGATTGTAAGGTGACAATTCTTACATCCATGTTCTACTGCAGAAGCACGGTTTTCTAAAAACTAATACTTGAGAACAGTTCTAAAGTAAAAGATTCAAAATCGCAGGCAACCTTTTAACTTTCAGCCTAAAAGTCTTCTGCCAAACTTTCAAACATCAGTTCATGTGAAGATCATTAGCTGAGTGCATTGGGCCCAGCTGCCAACAGCTTGTCAGGAGAAGGTTATGGTTTAATCTCATTCACATCACATTATTCCCTCATCTGAGCTGACCTGAACTTGGCTGAGGTTTGTTCAGCCTGGCAGCCATCGAGACGCACTAATATGTGGAACGATTTCTCACAAAATGCCCCAATTCTGTGCATAAGCAAAGCATAACAATGAGTTATGAGCAGTGAGTCCCATCTGTCCAGCGGCTCTGCAGGACAAAGCTTTATGCAAAGGATGCTGTTATGTTACGAAGGTTAGGATTCTGAGTGAGAGGCAGGTTGCCATTTGTCCCAGCCAGTCCTTTCGCGTTATCTCCAAAACGGCCTGTGGTCTCCAGAGGACAGTGAATGCAACCCTGTGTCATTCTTACTGATCAGTTCGGGAAAGCCTGGCCCAGCCAGATAAAAGCAATGGAGAGGGGAAGACCTCCAAAGGCTAAAATCTCTAAAGCTGATCCTCAAGTCAGCTGAAAATTATTCGGTGAAAACCTACCATCCATGCTGCAAATAAAAATATTTTGTAGTTGTCCAATTTATTATAAATGATTCAAAGACAAGACCCAAAGGAATAAGGAGGACCTACAAAAAGATAAGAATTAAGAAAGGAATGCCAGAGAGACGTGAGGGAGAGGTAGGGAGAGGGGCAAGGGGCAGCCAGGGCGGGGAGCTGGGCCCAGCGACTTCCTCCGGCTCTTTCTTTCTCTTGTTTTCCTCTCCTGCAGCTGGGAGCTTGAGCAGCTGTTATCACAATGGCAATGCAGACTTCTTCAAGATCTCAAAAACATGCCCACTAGAGAGAAAACAGAGTCCTTTGTTTTTCCCTCCTCTTGAGCCTAAAGCGCCCAAGCTACCCAGGGCTCTTTCCCTAGGCCCAGGAGCCATGGCAACGATCACATGACCCACAAACAACCCTGTCTGGCTGCACAGCAGGCTGCTCCTCTCTGAAGAGAATAAGGCCACAGAGATGAACAGAGCCCCCCGCCTGACTTCCCCTTGTGCCATCCGGGACTGGGAGAAGGCCTACTGGGACCACCGGGCAAAGGTAGGACAATGCCCTGCCTGCCTGTGCTTGGAATGAAAGCTGAAGGCAGACTGGGAAATGAGGTGGCTTGAATGACATTTCCTAACATCCTAACAATCTTCCCCATGTTTCAGGGCCATCCTGTCCTAACTATAGCATGTTCACACACACAGCTCAAGAGCAATTTAAAACAGACCTGTGAGTGCTCTCCCTACCAAAACCACGTGCACCAGCAGGCCCGGAAAGCTGCCTTGTACCCCACGAGGACACAAATAAATGTCGTGCAAATCTGTCTCCGTGTGGTTCAGGATAGATGCCTGGCCTGCCACACACCCTCCACAGGGTCGTTTGCTCACTCTTTGTTCAGTCAAGGTCTGTGTGGATCAAGGTTGGAAACATTCTCCGGAAAGGGAGTTTGCAGCCAGGTGGGAAGGCACAGACCTGTAGTTCCAGCTACTAGGGAAGCTGAGACAAGCAGCAAGTTGGAGCCCCAGCACCCTTAGCTCCCACCAGGCATGCCACCCAGCCTCCTAGGCTCTCTGCAGGGCGGCCCTCACTTCCTGAGGCCTTGCTCCAAGAAAATCGTCATTACTCTGCTCTCTTGTTGGCTGTCACACCACTGTGTGACAGACACACATACCCAGGATTTGAATACCTGCTTCACCCCTCTGTATTCAGTGATCATGCCCCCAGCCGACAGTGACCGCTGGACATGGAGCTGTCACCAGGGGGTAGAGGTGGTAGTGGCATTGCTTTTTTGGGTGACCACCAGGATTGTACCTGTGGGTGTTGTGCTATTCATTTTGTCCCAGGGACTGGAGTGGTCTCCACATGAGGTGGGCAGTCAGTGCCATCGCATTTATGTGAGTGATGCAGGAGAGATCTTGAATGGCTATTTGGGGAAACTGAGGCTGGGCACTAGGATTGAGTTCAGGCTGGTTGGGGCACACAGGCTCGCAGCACGAATGCACACAGCTCTGCAACATCCCAGAGACCTGGGCCATGGGCCTGGGCCATGCCAGGGACTCTGGTGCCCCCACAGCTCATGGCTTGCAGCACAGCATGTGAGCTGTAGAAGCCACCATCCAGAAAAGCACTGAAGGGGAAGGAATCACGTCTTCTTGGGAGGGAGAGAAGTAGAGACAGAAAGGTGAGCAGGACAGGGACAGGCAGCCACACAGGGCACAGCACCAGTCATGGGCACAGGGGTCTAAGAAAGCTGGAAAGGAGGGGTTCTGGATGAAGAGGGTGGTAGCTGAGGCCCAGGGCAAGGGCGCCTGACAGGAGGAGCCTGGTGTCCTGCAAGGCTGTGCTGAAGAAGCAGAGAGGTGGGGCCTCAGGAGGGCAAGAACCAGCAGGGCTGTCCCTGGAGTGCAGGAGATGGGGGAGGGGCAGAACAGGACTGGCGCAGACTGAAGGCCCCACTGAACGAGGAGCAGCATGGGCAGGTGGAGAAATGTGAGGCCAAGCACAGACTGGATCCACCAAGAGTGAGGCTCTTCCACCCCACATGCAGCCAGCGAAGTCAAGACAGAAGGCACACAGGTCTGAGGCAGCTTTGTGCCTTAGCTGGGCTGAGAATCCCTGACAGCACAGGGATTTGAATGCGACAGGGAGGAGGATGCTGTGCTTCCTGTGGGGCCTCCAAATCCCTGTCTGGGCCACACAGCTCACATCAACCAGAGCCTCAGTGTTAGAACTTGCCTTCCTACCCCACCACCCTGCGCAGCTGGCAGGCCAGCTGTGCCCCACACAGTCTTGCCCCACCTTGCCATCCAGCTGTCTCCATCAGAAATGCCTGCTTCCCCTTCGTGTCACCTGGCCTCTTGCTCGATGGGCTCACTAGCTGACTGGACACAGCAGAAGAACTCTAGACTTGATGATGTATCAGTGAAAATCCACCTTAGTCCATTCCTGCCACCTCAGACAAGGTAATTTACAAAAAAATAGAGATTTACTGGTCACAGTTCTGGAGGCAGCAAGGCCTGGGATCACACACCTGCAGGTCCAATGCCTGATGAGGGTTGCTTCTAAGGCAGTGCCATGTTGCTGTGTTTGTCCTCACAGGTTGGAGGGGATGGAAGCCAGAAAGCCCTCTGAAGCTCTTTTGTAAGGGCTGTGACCCCTTTGTGGGGAACAAGACACAGCACTTCCTCACTGCCCCAGAGTCTTGGCTTCCTGAGGCCACCACAGGGAGATTGAGTTTCCACATGAATTACAGGGGAATTTCAGAGGGACAAACAGTCAAACCATAGTAACCTCCAAAGCTGAAAAGCAAAGAGAACAAAGACTGAAAAAAAAAAACCCCACTGGATCACAGTATCAAAAGCCAGGAGAAAACTACAAAAGGTGTAACACTTAATGACTGTAGCAGGGGAGGAGGAATCTGGAAGAAATAATGAATGAGAATTTCTCCCAGACTGATAGCAGACCCTAAAGCACAGATCTAAGAAGCTCAGAATGATCAAAGGGATAAATGTCCAAAAATACACATAGGTAACAGAATTTTCAAACCACAGAAAATCAAAGATAAAGAAAAATCCTAGAAGGAGCCAAAGGAAAAATCCTCATCTACAGAAGAATACAGACAAGTACATACAATTTCTCAGAAACCATGCAAGCAAGAAGAGCATGTATTAAAATGTGTGGGGGGGGGCAACTAGAATTGTGTACCCTGCAAAAGTATTCAAAACTGAAAAATAAATAAAGACTTCTGCAGACACAAAAATTGAAGGAGTTCAATATCAGCAGGCCTGCCTAGCAAGAAACGTTAAAATAAATTCTCTAGAAGAAAGGAAGATAATCCAGTCAGAAGCTTAGTCTACACAAATAAGGGTGAGCTTTAGAGAAGACACCAATGAAACAATTCTGTCAAAGACACCATCTGCCAGAATCCACACAGAAACATTAAACAATCTGAATATGCCTATATCTATTAAAGAAATTGAATCAATAATTAGCCTTCCAAAACAGGAAGCTGTGGGTCCCGATGGGCTAGCTGGTGAATTCTGCCAAATTTTAAGGAAGAAATTATATACTAATTCTCTACAATTTCTTTCAAAGGGTAGGAGCAGAGAGAATATTCCCTAACTCGTTGTATGAGATTAGCGTTACTTTATAACCAAACCCAAAGACATTACAATTACAGACCAATACATCTCAGAAACATAAATGCAAAAATCCTCAACAAAACATTAACGAGTTGAAACCAACACTGCATAAAAACAAACACTTCTCCTAAGTGGGATGTATCCCAGGTATGCAAGCCTGAGTCATTATTCCTAAGTCGATATAATTGGTTATGTCAACAGACTAAAAAAAAAAATAAATAAATAAAAGGAAAAAAAATCACATGATCCTATCAGATGTAGTGAGAGGATTTAACAAAATCTAATACCCATTCCAAAAAGTCTTATTGTACTTGAAATAGAGGGGACCTTCCTCAACTTGAGTAAGATTGTCTACAAAAGATTTGCAGCTAACATCATGCTCAATAGTAAGAAAGTAACAGCTTCCAGCTGTCAGAAACACAGCAAGGATGTCCCATTAACTAGTCCACTTAAACATTCTGCTGCAATTTCTATGCAGTAAGTCAAGAAAACGAAATAAAAGGCACATTCATTGGGAAGAAGAAAATAAAGTTATCTTTGTAAATCACTTGGTTGTCTATTTTTAAAATCCCAAAGGATCAACAGAAAACTTCTGGACATAATAAGCAATTAAATGATTACAAAATTATTAAATAAAAATCAGTTTCTAACATCCAGCATGCTTATAATCCCAGCACCCAGGAGGCCGAAGCAGGAGGATTGCCATGAGTTTGAAGTTAGCCTGGGATACAGAGTGAGTTCAAATTCAGCCTGAACTAGGTAGCAAGACAGTTTCACAAAAGCAAAACAAAAATCCCCACAAAAAGTCAGTTGCTTTCATACATGTCAGCAATGATCAAGTGGAATTTGAAATTTAAAACATAATAACTGTTTATATTAGCATCCAAAAATGAAATACTTAGGTATAAATAGAACAAAATTCATGTAAGAGATCTATATGAGAAAATGGGTAATGAGCTTTTTTTTTTCAAAAGTGAAGATAAAATGGAAAGGAGACCCTTTCTACAACAGTAACAAAGCGACTGAAATACCCAGGCAGCAACTTATTAAGAAATGCTCAAATCTATGGTAAGGGTAGGAAAACACATGCTCCATTTCTCCTGCTAGGCTCTCACAGCACAGAACCTTGTGACCCCAGAGATGTGAAGGTCTCCCACTAACAACTACCTCTGCCACAGTTCTCCAGCAGACACAAGCTGAGCTTCCTCGGGCTCTGTTCAGTTCCACCGCCTTTCGCTCAAGCCAGCATCAGATCCACAGGCCAAGAGCTGTGTCCCAAGATCACCCTCCTCCAAGCGCCATCCAGGGGCTGGACTGTTGTCATCTGTACCTCTGACTGATAGCTGTTGATCAGGGCTCCCACAGTTCCCTCCTCTGTGGCAGGTTAGATGGCCCCCAGAACTTGAAATGCTTACATCTGCCCACTTACTGTGAAGGACATTACACAGGACACACTGAGGAGCTGGACAGAAGAGAAATGGAGGAGAGGAACGGGGAAGGGGGTGCAGAGCTCCTGTGCCCTCTCCAGCTCCCCAACCCCAGGATCGTTCACCCTTGCAGCTGTTGGAAGCCATCCTCCACAGCCCTATCCTTTTGGGGTTTTATGGAGGCTTCCTGATATAGAAATGCTGGACAGAATCACTGACCATAGTGATCCGTTTAACTTTTAGCCTTTCTCTCCTCTGGGAGGTTAGGGGTGGCAGTGAAATACCAGCCCTCTTGTTTGCCAAGTAACCAGGAGCTCCAGCCCCCTGTCAGTTTATTAGCACACCCAAAGATACTCATCACTTTGAAGAATCCAAGAATTTTAGTTTTGTAACAGGAAATGAGAAGAGGAAGACTAAATATATATTTCACAATATCAGAGCTATAAAAAGAGACAGTAAAAACATTCCTGAAAGCTATCACAGC